GAACAACTGAATAAAAGAAGGAATGAAAAGCCTGGGTGTTTTGTATTCTGTGCAAAGCAACAGTACAACTTTTTAAAAAGCAGATGCAAGGGCCTCTGTGGAGAATCATAGCAGCATTGGTTTCAGCCAGACAGAGGACTTTTACATGTACTTTCTTATTTGCTTTGCACCGCAGTCCTGTGAAGGAGGAAGAGAGGGTATAATTCTTCCCATGTGGTACATTCATTATTTTACCAATTCAGCAGCTGCATGGGGCCTGGAACTCCAGGGCGGAGAGAAGGGCCATGGCCTTGGCCTTCCCAGAGCATAGACTAATGGGGGAGGCAGTCGTCCAACGAAAGAGGAATAGCAAGTCTCAGAAGGTTACAACGGGGACGTAGAGGCCTACAAATAAGGAAACACAATCCCAAAGGGATTAAGTGGTTTACATGGGGTCAAAAGGCGGCTGGTGTGGTCATCCCTGGGCAGGACACTGTGCAGGGCAAGGAACGTAATCACAGCCGCTGTTCTCTAGCCTGGTCTCACCATTCTGGGAACGATGTTTAATGGGGGACATTGACAAATATGAAGAGCTGAGGACTGAGAGTTTGCAAGCCATGTCTTTTAGGGAGCATCTGTGTAGCCTAAAAAAAATTAAGAGTGTCAGGATATGCTCATTGCATTCAATTATTTGAAGGTTTGCCATGTAGGGAAGAGGAGCAGCCAGTAGACTGAGGAGCTGAAGAGGACACGATGGATAGATCCAGGTGCCCTGCGAGGCAGATGTGTCTGTCAAGGTTCAGAGGAAGATGCTCAGGTGTCGGAGTGAGAAGGCAGGATCCCCAAGACGCCGTCCACAGGCACTTTGGGAGACACAGAATGTTAAAGTTCAGGGTGTGAACTCTGGATCAGGCAGATGGGTCCAAAGCAAGCCCCCTGCCACACGCATCACCACTTATCAGCTGTGTTTCCTTGGCTACATTCCTTAGTCTTTCTGAATGGCAGCTTCCTTACCTGCAGTGGGAGATGAGAACACTAGTACCTGTCTCAGGAGCTGGTCGTAGGGTTCAGTAAGGTAAGGCACATAACCTGTTCCGCTCAGTGCCTGGCACGTGAGGTCATGGGCAAATACCTATGAAATAAATGAACAGCCACTTCCTGAGGGAATTGTGAATGAATCAAGTTTCCATCATGGCAGCAGCCCAGCTAAAACTACAACCTCCCCTGCAGGTCTGAGAATGAACTGAAAGATGGGTGATAGTACTATGGACCCTAACGAGGTTTGCAAATAGATGGTGTTTCTATTAATGGGATCCATTCCTGCACTGGGGGGAGCTTGGACCAAATGTCCTCAAAAATCCCTTCCAATTCTTAAATTCCATGAGAATAAGAATTGTCAAATGGTCCGATTGTAGAAGTCAGGAAGTTTCTGTTCCTTCAGGGCAGCGAGAAAGGTCAGGGGACTGGATTCATGAAGCTGTTTCTTTCTACAAAAGGAATGAAAAGTCCTTCTCCCAATTCTTACCCCAGCTTGTTATTTACAACAGCATAAAAGTGCTTTGTTTTTGTACCTTTCTCTAAAAGAACATGGGCAACTGTCTCTAAAATTCCCAGAATGTACACAGGAGATTTCTTTTGCCTGTTTTTTTTCTCTAACCCCCACTCCCACCCAAACCCTCCCAAAGAAATACACCCAAGAACTGTAAGAGTCTTCAGGATATGAATTATGGTCTTTTGCAATATTTGGTCATCTTCCAGTTCTGCTTTGGACCTTTGACCTCAGTGTGAAAAACAAACCCCTTGTGTCTGCTGAGATGATGGACATAGGTTTTCAGATTGTGCCATCTTCTGGTCAAATGTGGAAACCAACATGGCAGACTCCTTGCTTTCAGCGCGGTGTCAAGCCTGTGCCACCAGAGAAGCTGGACAGGAAACGTCTTTCTCTCCAGAATTTAGTCCAGGCCTCTTGGGAGCTGACAGCATGAAATGCGTTCAAATTAAACTATGGCACAGTTTCAAAAGTTCAATGCTTATCTCTTTGGAAGCACATACTCCTAATGAGTAATTACTCATTAATGCTCTGATATAGGTTCACCCCCTGGAAAGGGGAAACAAGTTAGGACCTTTTCTAGAATGTTCTGAGCTGCCAGTGTCATCAGATGGATAAGCCATTTGTGTTTCAGTTGTCTGAACACACTCAAAACTATGTTTGTGACTCTGATAAAGAGAATGAAGGAGAGGGAGACGAGCACATCAGAAATCCCCCATCTATTTACTAGGACCAAAGGTTGACTGAGGACACAAGCGAAGAAGCCATTCTGTTGGGTCATTGGGAAAGTCATGACGTATTTTTTGATGTTTTTCAATGCAAAAATGCGTCATGACTTTCCCGACGACCCAATAGACAAACCCCATTGCTGATCACCATGTGCTTTGAGCCCCAACCCCTACATGGAACCCTTTCTACATGTAAACCATCAGGACTCCATTTGCGCCTGTGCTCTAAGCCCAAAAAACAGAAGACTGAATGACCTCCTTGGACCCAGATCTTCACCTAAGCCAACCACTGGGTGAAAAGAAGAGGCAAAGGAAAATGACCCCAGGTGAAATAGCCCCCAAAATAACCCAGTTTCTCCCTGGAGCTCAAAAGATCGAGATTTAATTACCCATTCCAGCCATCCCAGGATGGAATAGAGGAGAAAGAAGGCAGGTTTACCCAGGAGGGAGACATCCCCATGTCCACCAGGAACTTAAGCTTCATGAAAGACCCAAATTTTAAGGAGGCGAGCCTGAGACTCTGTCCTGAGATGCCATATGGAGGGCTCCAATCATGGGCTTATCCCATCAGCAGCTTTGATCCAGCTCTGGAACCCTGGGGTACCCCACAAACTCCCTCTGTTCAGCACCCCTCTTGATAAAAGAGTGAAGGAGAGCAGGATGTGTGAACATTCTTCATTCTTTCCTGGAACTGGCAGCTTTCAGCAGAACAAAATTCACCAACACTTTTTGAATCTGAAATAGTTCGGTCTTGGAAAACACCCTGAAAGCTGATGCTGCAAAACGGTGTCTTTCAGATAACCCAAACATCGCAGTCTGGTGACTAGTCTAAGACGAAACACACATTTCCCAACACGACTAAGATTTTTTGAGAAAAACAGAAACATTTCAAACATAATAGGAAATTAGCACGCTGGACTGGTTGTTCTCTATGAAATACATCAATATAGATGTTTTGTAAAGGATCATGGGGCAAAGAAATAGTCCTATCTAGGATTAAATATGTACCTGATTTGTCTTAAAGTGGATCCTTGGACCAGGTCTATTCACTGCTTAACAAAATTTTATATGAAAACCTCAGTTTGTAGCGTTTTTTGTCTTTTTTTTTTTTCTGAAATAGATAGCTACCAGGAGCACTTGGTCTTAAAGAACAAATTGAAATAATACAGCTTTTCCTAAATATAGCATTTCCTTCGGACACCTGTCCCTCAAGAGGCTCAGCCAAAAAGGGTGTCTGTACTCAGAAAAGTTGGTGAAATACTCTGCCTTCTAGGACATTCACAAGTTACATGAACTTATGAAGGATCTGAGGAATTTGGAGGTAAAGGAATATTTTTTAACAAATTAAATTTGCTCAACATCAAAATTTTCAAATTTCAAAGATTACCTAACAGGATCTCAAAGGACAAGTTTAAGGAACACTTCGCAGGAAACGTTGCTCATAAACAAGCAGGTATGTGAGGTTTTTGCCATTGCTGATGATTTTCCAGAACCAGGAGAGATGAGCCTCAACACAGGGACCAATGCACTGTTGCTATGTGACAATGAAAACAACTCCATGACTGGAGAACAGAGCGGTGAGAGTGAACCAATAAGTCCTCTAGCTGGTGAGGACCCATCTAGATCATTTCATTAAGTTTTGCCCATAATAACTATCTGAATTCCAGGAAATGTGGTGTGGCTTGTAGTTATAACAACAGCAGCAACAACAACAAAACTAGCTTCCCCACAACCATTTAGGAAGTAAACCCATTACGGATATCTGAAGAGCTGTCTAATGTGAGTGTTGTAATATTCCATCTCCACTCAACCTCGTAGAATTCTTGTCCGATATATCACTCTTCCAAGAAAGGATTGGATCCCTATTTCTTCTCTATAAAATCAGAATGCGCAGGCTTGGGGTGGCTTCCAAAGACCCCTCCAGCCGTAAGAGTCCATGACACTCATGAACAGTAAAAAAGAAATCTATCACATTCTTTTGGATGCCTTTCTAGAATTTTAAATTTGCAAGGAACCTCCTTGTATGTTTTCCATATTAAACATAACTACTTTTTTAATTATTATTATCATGGAACACTGTGTTTCCTGATCTGGGGGAGAGGGAGGGAGAAGTGTGTACCATAATTATTGTCTGGGGATTTGCAAATGGGTTTCTCTGGTTGAAACTTGTTGAGGGTTAAGCAAATCTCCCTGGAGAAATGCAATTTGTTTTGCTTCTCATGGGTAGGAAATCATAGACTGGCCACATTTCCCCTTCCCCTTGACCTTCATCTCCCACAGAGAATTCCTCTGCAAGGGTTTGGTTCCCTTGATTCTGCTACTTTAAGCAAAAGAGGATTTAGCACCACCATGACCTGAAAAACGTACTTTCCTCCTCCTGGGTTTCAATCAGAGAGGTGCCCATAGTCACTTCTGCCCATGCTCACCAAAGGGCCAGGTGATTTCTAGTCACAAAATTGCTACTGCCACGCAGCATGACAAAGTAAGCAATTTGAGGGGGAGAAAGTAAGAAGGCCGAGATGAAAGTGAAAGACCTTATCTTGGACTCTCTATGAAGAAGACTGTAATTCAGTAAGTCTTGTAACGTTGTATGTTTAAGCTACTTTTGGACTTTTCCAAAGAAGTGCCTGCCAATCTGATGGAGTCCCCACCTATCTCCAGGGACTTGTACAACTACAAATATTCTACAGAGTAGTTTGCTCATTTACCTGTTGATCCCCTTGTTATCACTTTTCTTCCTCTAGCTGTGATCAAGGTGAAGAGAAAAACCTCCAAGGAGTTAGACCTGAGTCTTTGTAGTTGTTGGAGGCAATGTTTGCTTTTCTCTTTCGGATCCTGAAACAAGTCCAGGATCACAGTGCTCTGGGGACAGAATCTCCCTTCTGCAAGAGTTCCAGAAAGTTCTATCTCAGTTACGTGGCTTGAAGGACTGGAATCACCAGAGTTCCGTTTCGACAAGGTACTCTCCTCCAGACTTAAAATCTAACCCTTCACATGGAGTATGGGGTAGGCAGCCTATAGAGGGAAAAGAATTCTGGTCCAGGAATGGGATGGCACAACTTAGCCTGAAATGGAGATTGTGGTAGTTGCTTGGCCTCCTGAGAAGTTGAATTCCTAACTTTCACTATGAAAATCCCTTGCTTCTTACAGGTTAGCTGTCTTTTCTCCCCCTCCCCCTGCTTTCACTCTATCTCATGCTTTCCTTGACCCTCAACTCCAGCCCTAAGAAGCCAAAGGAACAACTTCTAGCAACAATCAGGTGCATCATCAATGAGTTCTCCTTCCCAGGAGACATCTGTGATCATTACCGAACCCAGAAGCTTTTCTGAATTTCTGCCCTTCTTGGATGTAGCTCCTTTCCCTTGCTGATGTTTGAAATTTTAAAAACATTGTAGGCAAGGAGAAATAGTGCCCTCTACAGGACCTATGAATCTCAGAGTTTTACAGGTCATCACTCACAAGCACGGCAGTTTTCTTTTAATAGATGGTTCATTCTTTTCTTCTTTTACTTTGAGGTTAATACAGCCCGTGACAGTCTGTTGACTAGAATGGCTTCTGCATACAGCTATTGCTCAAGTATAAAAGGAGAGGTGATGAAGAATGCTTCAGGTTCCTTTCTTTTTGCAAAAAAAAAAAAAAAAATGCTGATCCAACACAGTTTCCAAAATCAGATGGGCAATGGGGACATTTGGGCATCTGTCAGTGTTACAGGGAAGCCATGAAAATCTCCATTATTCAGCTATCTTATCCATCTCTATTTTTAGCAGCGTTTTTAGTTTTGTTAGCAGAAGGGACAGACTAAACCACTGGCCATGTATCAATATCAAGAGTCATCCATTGATTGATAGTGTGTTTTTCCAAACAGAAGGTTTTCCCTCGCCAGCCATGTTTCTTCTTGAGCTGTCTGTCTTTTGGAGCTGGGGGCTGTATCCCTACCTGTCCCCTGCTAAACACTTGACACCCTTTCTCCTCAGGTTTTGACCTCACCTTCCTTAGCAGACACCAGAGCACTTTGGAATTTCTCTTCCTGTCAAGCAGGAGCCTCTTTATCATGCCCTCCTCTCCCTTACGCCTTCCCTACCTGCCGCAAGTACCTGCAAAGCCTGTAGAAAGGAAGTCATCCAGCTGATACAGGGAAATGCTTTGAAGGCATTTCGGAAATTACATCCTACTCATGCATGTTTCCTGGGGCAGGGCGGTTTCAGCTGGGCGAGAAGAGATGGAAAAGGCAGGCATTTCCCACACACAGCCTACAACTCTTAGTTAGGCGGCTGCTCAGACGCGGATGCGGCTTCTAACGTCAAATGACAGTCATGGTCAGGAAAGCCCAGGACGAGTCCTGAAGATAGTCCTACATGGCAGGGCCGTTCGGTCTTTCCTTTTCTGGCTCACGCAGTGTTCCCATGATGCAAAGAGTCACAGAGGGGATTGGGAAGCTGCAGATCAGAGGTGGGGGCTCAGCTCTCTGCCTGAAAAAAAAAAAGACAATAATAAAGGAACAGAGCAAAATGGCAAAGTCTGACAAATAGAAGTTGAGAATAGGACTAATAAAGGGATTTGAGGCCAAAGCTGTGTGGAAGCCTCGGTTTCAAAACAAGAGAAAAAGGACACCTATGTTTATTCCCTGCGTCTCTGATGGTCTGTTTGAATCCTCCGCTCAGGCCTGACCAGGGTTATGCGAATAACTGCAGCAGTAAAACACACCGTTGCTTTGGAAGTTTTATTCTTTCTTTAAGACATATCAAGTAAATGTTAATAATGACATCTGTTATAGTTATCCTTTCTAGTTTAATAAAGTCAAATGGCTTATCCTGTACTTGCTATAGGCTGAATATTTGTGTCCCTCACAAAATTCATTTGTTAAACCCTAACCATGATGGAATCGGGAGGTCGGGGCCTTTGGGCGATGATGTCATGGGGGTGGGGCCCTCATGAACGGGATTAGTGCCCTTAGAAAAGAGATCGCCGAGAGCTCCCTCACCTCCTCTTCCCTGTGAGGACACACAGCAAGAAGACATCCACCAGTGAACTTGGAGGACAGCCCTCACAGACACTGAATCCGCTCACCCTTTGGCCTTGGATTTCCCAGTCTCCAGAACTGTGAGAAATAAATTTCGGTTGTTGATAAGTTACCCAGTCTGGTATTCTGTTATAGCCATCTGAACGGACGAAAACAGTAGTATCTTAGTAACCGACCCAAAAGCAAAACCGTATGAGCCATGCAGACCTAAACCAAGCACTTTTTACCCAGTGGCATCAACGCAAATTACAGGCACAGTAATCATAAGCTCACTCTTTCAAACTGCCATCCCGGTCAGTCTTTAATATGGGACAGCACGGTTTCAGGAAGCTTTCATTTCCTTTACATCTGAGAATGTGTGTGTATTCGTAATGACATAAATACACTTGTCATTATGGGCAGTTCCAAGAGCTTTGAGGGCCTCACTGAGAATAAATCTTCATCTGCTGGACATGCAAACTCAAACCTATTAAATGACATGAAACGTCATAATCGTGGACACCTAAGAGAATTTTAAACATCATTAAAATTCTCATCAATGATACAGCAGTTCTGCACCCATGAAAGTGAATAGTGAGCAGTTAAGGTTTTAGGAAATACAGAAATACCTGGCTTATTAATATGCTGGGGCCGCCATACATAACAAAGTACCACGGGCTCGGTGGCTTCACAGAAATTTATTTGCTCACATATCTGGAAATCCAAGATCAAGGGATAAGCGGGGATAGTTTATGCTGAGGCCTGTCTCCTTGACTTGTGGATTCTTCTTCTCTGTCTGTACGCTCTTTTTAAAAGAACAGCAGTCATTTTAAATCAGGACCCATCCTAACGACCTCATTCAACTCATTTAACTTAATCCCCCTCTTTAAAGGCCTCATCTCCAAATACAGTCACATTCTGATGTACTGGGGGTTTGGATTTCAACATAGGAATTTGAGGGGGGGACACAAACAGCTGTATGGATGGTGTGTCTCATCCAACCAGTCCAAGGCCTTAAGAACAAAACCTGAGGTTTTCTCGAGATGGAGGAATTTGCCTCAAGATGGTAGCATCACCTCCTGCCTGAGTTTGCAGCCTCTCACCCACCATTCCCTACCCTCTCCATACTTGCCAGGCCCACAACCGCAGAAACCAACTCCTAAAATAAATCTCGTAATGGTATGCATTCATGTCCTGTTGGTTCTGTTTCTCTGGAGAACCCTGACTGATACACTACCTTTTGCTAAAAATAATTCAGGATGTCATAGACGTAATCTCGGCCTTCCTGTTCTGTGTGTTGTTGCAAAAGAGAACCAGCCCCATTCACTCCATCTCAGAGCTGCTCGCCCGCCATGTAGGGTCTGCAGTGCTCACACTCATCGCAAGGTGGCGCTGGTGCTCTACTCAAAAGAGGCTTCCCTGCTGCAGGCCAGGCCTCACCGGCTTTTTAACTCGGATTTGAAGACAACCCAATGACTCAGCAAGGGAAAGAGGCAGCATAAAATTTGGACAAAGGATACTGCCGACGTGCCCAATGTACACCAGCTTGCTATCACAAAAATCGCTTTTTCGATGTGTCCTTTCTTGGGAGTCACAGCTCTTTGGTAGGCCTGAGCGTGCTCTGAGCAAATACCCACATGGGCAGTCCCATAGGACCCCCCAAGAAATAGGAAAACACACACACACACACACACACACACACACACACACACACACACACAGCTACTAGGAAAAGGGGGATACCTTTGTGCTTGAAGGTTGGCTGGCCATTTTGTCTCACTTCTGTCTGCAACAGCAGAGAGGCCACCTGCTTACTGGTCTGAGTTTTCTTTCCTTTGAAGTCTTCAGGGTTGTCTTCTGGGAGTAAGCCACGATAGCCCAAGGGTGCAGCGTGGGTGCCTGCCTGCCTGTTAATGCACACAGGGCATGACTCACCCTGACCCCAGGATGTCAGCTACTCCCAGTCCTGGCGGAACAGCCTCTGTCTGTGCCTACACGGCAACACCCCCTCTCACCCTCAGCTAATCCTACTGCTGGTCAAGACCCTACCCTGTCATTTAGGCCCTGTACCTGACCACAAGCTCCAAACATTTCAGTGGCCTGGGCTTGTTTAATCCTTGTAATGTTTTGTAAGAAAAGTTTGAGATGCCTTCACTTTTAAAATGTCTCCTTTGTATGTGGGACACAGAACCAGATATGTTGAGCGACCCTGCAAAGGTCACCCAGTGATTCAGAGTCAAACTCATGGACATTGGATGTTGCGTGGGGCCTGCTGACGTTTCTAAATCTGCTACAAAAGTTCTCCCTCCCCCACCCCACCCTCACCTCCCACCACTACTGATCCTTTTCTTGTACACATGACATTTGTTTGGTTCATTTTTAGAGTGCACACATTCACACAAGTACACACATCCACACCTGTGTTTCTGTAGTTTTAAGGAATGTGCCAATGACGTGCGGTTACTGGTATAGCCCAGAAGTCAGTAGAAGCGTCACCTACCTTTTACATTAGAACCTGACTTGTAAAATATACACACAGTGCCCCTCTCAGGGGTACGCAGTTCAGGAGAGCAGATGAGAAGCCCCTGAGAAACCCTGTAGAAAAGAAACAGTTTAACCCTATTTAACCACCTATTTTTCAAACTCACTGGAATACACATGACTTTTCCCCCCAGGAGCTCTCCATTAACATGACTGGAACAAGCTTCCCTGACGCCGTTTGGAAACGCTGACTAAAACGATCAACGCTTCGTACGATAGCACGGGGTTGAGCGTGTAGGCAATAACCCCCACTTGCCCCGCTGAGGATTTCCTGAGTTCACAGGCTTTGTCTTCTTGGAGTTAGTTGGGGTTTTGTGGTCTCCCAGGCTGTTCTAATGGTTGACAAAAGCCAAGTCTCGCGGCAGTTCCCCAAGCTGGAGACTATGGAGCAGAGAGTAGATTAAATAGCACCCTCTCCTACTTCTGATGGGCCTGTCCCATTTCTTCCAAAGCACACAGGCATGTCCACCCAAGGCCACCCTGCGTCCCCTCCAGCTGTTCCATTTATTGGGGTGACATTGGTTGGCAAAATTATACAGGTTTCGAATGTACAATTCTATAACACATCACCTGTATATTGCATTGTGGGTTCACCACCCAGAGTCAGCTCTCCTTCCATCACCATATATGTGACCCCCCCCTTTTCCTTCTTCTACTATTCCTTCCTCTCTCCCCTTATTCTCTGGTAACCACTAAACTGTTGTCTGTGTCTATGAGTTTTTGTTTGTCTTGTTTGTTGCTTTCAGTTTTATATGTCACATGGGAGTGAAGTCATAGGGGTCTCAACTTTTTCTGTCTGGCTTATTCCGTTTAGCCTGGATGGATCCTGAGATTGTATCTCTTTTCAATCCCATATTCCATGGAGTTGGAATCAAGCATGAAGTATTACACCACACAGACCAGCACGTGCTGCAAACCAGGGCCTCTTTGTTTTCAGGTGAGCTGAATGTTGTCAGACATTGACCAGCACACCGCTGGGAGGAAGCCACTCGCATCTTGATCAGGGTGCATAGTTAAGTCAAGCCTTGCAAAGAGCACGCTCATGCTTTAACAAACATTTTTAAGCTGTCATTATATAGTATTATTCAAACTCATATCAGGCACTGTGCTAGATGCTTGTGACCAAAAGGAAGTTAATGATTTATGGCAAATAGATGGAGAGGAGAACTATGCTTCTAACTTCAACATCTTGCCAGAAATTAGTAGATGGTGTTTGGTAATTGAACTGGATTCCAATCCTGAGAGAGGTTAATGACTTTTGCTTATTTGCAGGAATGTAAGGTGGCAACATCTCTTAATTTGTAAGTCTAGCTTTCAGAATCTGTCCCACAGAACTCATCCGTTTAGTCCGTTCAACTGACAAACATTTATTGGTTATCAACTGCCGGCCAACATCCAGGTGCAAGGATACTAAATTCTAAAAAGACTTGGGCCCTGTTCTTTGGAAACTTAAGAGTCATCAAGGACATTCGGCAAAGATGGAGGTGCTGAAGGAACATACTTGGTCCAACATTCCTCCAAATCAGGTTAAAAAGTCACTTTTTTTTTTTTTTTAGCTTAGTGGTTAAGGGTACGGCCTCTAGGATTGGTGGGTCTTGTTCAAGACCCAGTTCTACTGGATACTAGCTGTGTGACCACAAGCTGGTTATTGAACCTCTTGAAGTTTTGGTTTTCACATTCACAAAGTGAATCCTAGCCCCTGTCTCTAACGTGTCATGAGGATCAAATGAGATAATGCATCTAAAACACTTCCTACACTACCTAACAGATAATAAACTGTCCATAAAAAGTAGCATTTACTATTCCTCTCTTTCTCCCCCACCCCTGGACATAAAAAAGCATAGGCACTTTCTCAGCTCTCTCTACGTGAAGCCATTTCCCAGGCCAGTACATTCCAGAGAAGCAGCTCATTCCATCCTCTGCCAGCCTCCGAACATTCATAGTAACCATGGACATTGGCCAAAAGAGAAAAACTACAAAAGGACTGTTAAATGAGATGGAGACCTAACCCAAATACCTTTAAAAGGCCGGTGGGAGAGTGGCGCTCTTCTAGGCCATGTTGTCCATTTACGTATCCTTGTGTGATTGTTGTTTATGCTGCCAGAGGTCACGTGCTTTGACTACTGCAGATCCCTGAGCTTCCCTGGGGAGCTGTGGGTCCCTACGTCATCCACCACCCAGCAGCCATTCCCCAAGGATATTGCATAGGCATTCTGGGGACCACCATCTACTAAGCTCAAGGGCAGAGTCTCCAGCCATTCCAAGGGTGCAGTAAGTGGGCTTTGCTTTCACCAGCTCTTGCTGTCTGTGACACACACCTGGTGCTCTTCCTACAGTGAAGAGAGCGTCAGATGTTTTCTTTTGGCTGATTTCCCTTGGCCACCCCCCCTTTAGGGTGTGATGCCTTAGCAAATCACCTGGAAATTCACAGCCTATTGATACCAGCTGCAGCAACCCGCGGACAGAGCTGGTGCCAGGATTCCCAGGCTCATGGCTTAGCACCATGCCTCCCTCCTCATAACACCAATACAGTTTGATCAGTTTATTAGAACATGGCACTAGTACAGAAGA